GCAGCCAACGCACAAAACTACCGTTTGTGCATGGCTAAAGACTGTGGTGATTTTATAGCATCCTGGGCACTTCACATCCATGAAGTAGGAATTTGGGCTCTGCACCAGGCGCTTCTTCTTGTGTTTCTTCTTCTCCTCTTCAGGAGAGGGATGAAGGAGGTCCTTTGCGAGAGGCATGTTCTCGTGGGGAGGTCGTCACCGCCAGAAAGGCCCTACAGTATATGTTAAAAGCCTCCAACCAACAATATTCTGGAATTAAGCAAAAGATGGATTAACTTTTTTAAATTATTTTATTTAACATTATTTAATTTGACCAGAAAGGGACAGGGTGAGAGAGAGAGAAATAGAACGTGAGAAAGCAAGGCACCAGGTCCAGGACTCGAACTGTGGTCAGCCATATGGGAATCCAGCACCCTTAACACACGCCACCTGCCAACCCAAGTCCTCCCTTTTGCTTAACCCCTTCTCCCTCAGGGAAGCCACCTGGTACCTGACCAGGTCAAATCTTACTGCACATGCTGACACCATGTAATCAACTTGGTTGGCATCTGGCCTGCCATTCCCCCAAAAGCTCTGTAAAGGACAAACCAGTCTACTTTGGCTCTCAAGTCATTTCTCCAGTAGCCAGCATGATAACCACTATTAACAGATCAATGAAAAACTTCAAGAAACAAGTGATGGGCCAGTGCCATAGCTCAATGGTTAAGGTACGTAGATCACATGTGGCTGCCTACCTGGTTTGAATCCTGGCTGGCTCCATAGGTTGAAAGCAGGCTAGTTGTGTACACCCCAAATCCCACCAGAATGAACAAAAGGAGAAATTGCAGCATGACCACATCCACTGGAGGTGCTTTCTCCCTCTGAGCATTTTTACCCTTTGGCACATTTTTTTTTTTTTTTTAAAGTGGCTGGAGCCAGCTCGTGGTGTGGTGGGAAAGGTGACTGGATCCCACAAGTCCAACTTCACGGATTGAGTCCCAGACTTAGTGGTTTGAGAAACATGCCAGGTACTTGGTTCCAAATCCCAAGACTAGAGAAGGAATTGGGGCATGGCCACTCCCTGGTGTGTGTGTGCACGGGAGGGTTGACTCTCTCTGGTGAGCACATGCACCCTATAGCTAAGAAAAAGTGACTAAATGTTACACAGCCTATTAAGAAAACTGGAAGGAGGACCAGCAGGTGGCATGGTGGTTAAGGTGCTGGACACTCCCACATGGCTGACCAGGGTTCAAGTCCTGAATCTGATGGCTTGCTTTCTCACTTCCTCTCTCTCTCACTCTCACCCTCTGTCTCTCTCTGGTCAAATTAAAAAATGAATAAATAGGGAACCAGCAGTTAGCGAAATGGCTATGTCGCTAGACTCCCACGTAGTTGACCGCGGTTCGCGTCCCGGACCCGGTGGCTTAAAACTCACACCGGGCACCTGTGCGTGCGTGCCCAAGATCCTGAGAGGAGAAGGGATTGCGGCGTGACCATCCCCCCCTGGGGGGTGATTTCTTGCTTTCTGTCTCTCTGTCTCTGTCTGTCCGGCGAGTGCCCACGCCCTATGGCAAAAACCTCTCCAAAAAAAAATGAATAAATAAAAAATAAAATAATTATTAAAAAAATAAAACATAGGAAGAAAGGCATGATAAAAAGATGTTTCTACTTTAGCTTAAAAAGGCTGTTAGGGGGGCCAGCAGTTAGCGTAATGGCTATGTCACTGGACTCCCATGTAATCAACCACGATTTACGTCTGGGACCCGTGGCGTAAAAA